TAACCGACTAGCTAAATATAACGCATCTAAAATGATGGGGACATTGTCAGCAAATAGGCGACAGTCGTTTGTATTGCTTATATGGGATCTCGACAGATTTAATGTAGTTCTATTTTGACAGACCCCTGAAATATGCTAGAAAAAAATCCTGCACAAAATGCAGACTTCTGATTCGGCTGAAAAAGTGGATCAGAACGCTTGTTGGTCCTTTTTATGAAAGCAGCGCATCCAGCAGTGGCGCAAAACAGATACGAAGTTATTCGGACCCCATTCAGAATTATGAGTACGATTAGAGTAAGAATTTATGGCCATAACCCATGCTCACAAACATTGTTTCAAAGCGTTATAATACGTTTTCCTGCACTTTCTGATGCCAAGAAATGGATTTCAACCACTGATCCATGGTCAAACGATCCATGATTTAATCTATATCAGCCACAGGTCCAATGTAGATATGATAATAGCATCACCTCATTTCAAGTAATACCTTATTATTAATCTAAGATATTTCAGGAGCGATTCTGCTATTTTGTTTTTACCAGAACAAATGATATACAGATTTGTATGTTAGAAAATGCTCATAAGAGCAGAAATTTAAGAAAAAAAGATTTAAAGACCTGTCAGCTCTTAGATGCAAAAATATTTTATTATACTGGTTTCTTAGATGTCACTGGCGACGAACAGTCTTTTGACTCTCGAAAATTTTCAGTCAGTAAGAATTTCACCATAAATTACTTCGAAAGTTACACGGCCTCGATATTCTTCTTTTCGACAATCTAGCTAAGTATTCTCATAAATTAATATGTAAGTAACATCGCATGGGAGAACCACGGATATGACCTGAACTGCAAGCCCTACAGCAAGGACAAATGGCAGATGGAAGCGCAAACTGCGGACGAACGCTAAACAGACTCAAAACTAGAGCTTACTCTACGCAGTTGGTTACATGGTCGGGACAACCCCAGCCGTGTGCATGGCAGCCTTTGACTGTCACCGGTATATACCGTGTTCGGTCTAGATGTGCATCACTAGGACTGATTTGACAAAGGTCGACTGTTTTTCAGCTACGCGAAAGATGGGCGTTTCGGAGTGAAAATTTTAATTAAAACTTGTTCTTCTCTTTTCATCACTAACGTGAAACAGTAATGCTGTTAAGTCGTTGGAGGCAAACCTCTGAAACAGCTTAAGCCATTTCATCGAAGAAACGCAGATGAATCAGCAGCGAATTTCTTTAATAAAATAATACAGGGATATAAGTTCGGTCGGCAGAACAAGATCAGCTATCGCAGACACACTACTACTATATCTTATCAAAAAGAAAGTTCGTAAGTTACTAGATGAAACATTGTAAACTTTTATCATATATCATTCGCGCATAGTCTTGTATAATAGTAAACCATTTTAGTGCTTTCAATGTCGAAGTAATATAATGCAATGGTGAAAAAAATTTTAAGTGAAAGTTAAACAAAATTAAGTTGGAACTGTCGTTAGTTTGAAGCTTTCAATAAGGTTAACTGTGCGACAGAAAGACCGTATCATGCAAACAGATCATGATAAAAAATGACGTGGTTACTGGTTCTTTCCCATATAATGGTATCCATATATTTACCTCAAAAGAGAGAATGGTTAATGACCAAATCGAGATCTGAACCTATCACCTTTAGACGGTGAATCTACGCTCTCCTAGCTACGCTGCCATGACCAAATTATAAACTGTCACTAAAAAACAAAGACTGGTTCGTGGATTCGAAAACAACATAAATGTAAAAATAAAGCACATTAGGAGTTCCTCTGGAAAAAACTTAGAACACTAACCATATTCGATAAAGCGCTTACCCAATGGGTGTTCACTGTAATCAAATGAAGGCAAATGACCTTCAACTCGTAATTCCAATGTCACCGGATTTTCTTTGAGTATCGGCCGCAGATAGACTTGCGGAGAATCGAGTTCCATGTTATTAAGGTCTTTGAAAAGACAAACAGTTAATAATCTGGAAACTTGATTGACGCCTACCGTCACAGATGGCCTTGCACAGCAATCGGCGTACGGTATTCATCGTGAAGTCAGCGGGTTTGTAAATGCAAAACACCCCATTTAAAAAGCGCCAGGCGTCCGCTGCCTTCGTAACGATCATTTCGTTTCGTAGACAAGGAAAGTCTGCAAAACGTTTCTTTGAAATTAAAATATTTTTTGGTCATTTTATATAATTTCATTTGAAAGGTTTACAAACTGAACAAAGAAATCTACAATTTATGAAGTCACCCATATCGCATTGAAAGTTCTCCGCTTAGAGGTTAAGACATTTTCGCCAAGAAGCGATCGTACTCACGATTAGCGATATGGCTGAACTCCTTAGCTAATGTGCCGATTTATAAGTTTACGAATCAGTCAATAAATCACTATTAAGCAGTTTCAACTGCGAACTGTGCTCTGCGTTACATCAGTTCAATCCTCTTGCAGAGGGGCTGATTCGGGGGACTGTCTTCCTGGTCATTTACATGCGGTAGCTAATCAAAAAGCCAAAACAGCCATGTTAATTAACCCATTATCCATTTACGGAGGATATTTGGGAACAGCGCAGATGTCCAACAAGACAGCATGACTTAAGGATCCTAGAGAGATTGCTACTCAAAACAAATTGGCGCACAGAAAGACCAAAATTCAACGCTATAAGTTCATAATTCAAATGTGGAACTCGTCGAGGAACTCCGAGAGAACGAAGCGTCACAAAGCCGTCGCTTGTAACCCAATCTGGAAGAGATGAACGGCAAGCGGATGTTCTGTCCAATACTCCTGGCAAGCGTGAACAGTGGATAAAAGCCATTTGCTAATATCAAATGGAATGGAACGCAAAACTGCCCCAACCTTAGGTCGCGTCGAACTACGGGCGGATTACATCGCACGACTGACGGATGGCGGATTGACTTAAACAATAACGGACTGATACCCAAAGAGATGCAAGCGCCCAAATTAAGACCGTGGCTCAGATGGGGAAATGAGATACGAGAAACATCGACTTTTGGGGCAACAAATCGCAAGGAACAGAAGAACGAGGGTATCGAGAGTTGGAAGTGATCCCCGTAAATCATGAAGGATCAACTTATTGTTGCTGTTGCTACGTAAGTTAGTACCTTCATTTTGAACTTAACTGCAACAGCCAATTTTTGATACTACTTGTCAGCACTGCATATTCGCTTTACTTTACTCGTCTCTGCATTTAGCTGCATAGATCTCTTTAAGAAAGCCACGGTATCATAGCACATACATCGTGCGGATGCAAAACTGGATCACTGCACTGAGTCGAACAATTACATGCCAAAATCCAGCTAATATATATTGATTCATAAGCTAATACATACGCTAAACTAAACAAACGAAAATAACCGTGACATTATGCATTTACAACAATAGGCTGCGAAACAACAATG